TTTTCTTCTTTTTATCTTCATTTTTAAGAGAAATTATCGGTTACAGAGTTTGAAGGTGAAGAATCGTTCAAATATATGAGTGTATATATACTGTATATAGTGTGTATCGTATTTGTGTTTATATTATGTATATAATGTATGTACACTCACAGTTCGGACGATTCTTCTCATTCGGAATACGCACAGAATAATTTCTCCGAGTTTACTCAGCTTATTTTGGTCTGTTGGTTAGGGGCTTTGACTATCAACCAAAAAGTTTTAGATTAGAGTCTTATATAAATATGATGTACGTATTCTATTGAATTTTATAATCCTTCTTCTCTCAATCAACTTATCTAAATAAACTAACTCAATGCCTGATATTGATCACGGCTAAATGAGTCCTTTTTATTAAAAAAAAAATACAAGTCTTTTTTCTCGATTGTGTACTATTAAGAGTCAAAATCTCATTTAAATTTAATAGAAAAAATCATTTCTAATGCTTTTAACCAAATCTTTTTAAGGCTTCATTTGGGATCGAATTTTTAGTGTTTCTTAAATCAACTTTTTAGTACAAAATTAAAATTTTGGTATTAGAAAATTGCTTTAAGAAACCGTAAGAAAGTTGTCACAAACAAAACCTAAAGTTTCATTTGAGATGGCTTTCTTACTGGTTCTTAAAATTATTTTTTAGTATAAAAATATTAATTTTTGTACTCAAAAGCTGCTTTAAGAAGAAATAATAAAGCCTTCTCAAATGGAGGCTAAGACTTTGTTTGAGATGGCTTTCTTACTGCTTTATTAAAATTACTTTTTAGTATAAAAATATTAATTTTTGTACTCAAAAGCTGCTTTAAGAAACAATAATAAAGCCGTCTCAAACGAAGGGTAAGACTTTGTTTGAGACGGCTTTCTTATTGCTTTTCAAAGCAAATTTCTAGTACAAAAATTTAAGAAAGTTGCCCCAAACAAAGTCTAATGCTTCGTTTGAGACTATTTTTTATTGCCTTTTTAAACAACATTTTAATATAAAAATTAAAATTTTTGTATTAAAAAGTTGATTCAATAAGCATTAAAAAAGCTATCCCAAATGAAGCCTAAGGTTTTGTTTGGGACGGCTTTCTTAATGCTTCTTAAAGTAATTTTCTAGTATAAAAATTAAAAATTTTATACTAAAAAACTGCTTTAAAAAACAGTAAGAAAGCCGTCCCAAACGAAGCCTAAGTCTAACTATACCATTTTTTAATATAGGATGAATCTAATATCTATTATTCTAATTAGATCATCAATATAAAATATTGATTACTATTTTAATAAAAAAACTTTCTTAGGATGTGATTCATGAGATGAGATTAAATAACATAATAGGAGTTTTTTTTTAATTTTAAATTTATAATTAAATAAATTATATTTAAGGACCGATTTAGGGGGATATGGGGGCCCATTCTGTAAGGGAGGATTTTTACATACTACGTACCAATATATATTCTTTTATCATATAAAAATTTGTATGGTCCACATAACATGATTCTAAATTTAAGGGGAAGAAATTATTCTGTGGGGACACTGAATCACTCGGAGGCGAATCAGAACACGTCACATCATTCGATACACAGCGGTACACAACTTCGGTACACAACAAAAAGTGACTTAGTACATTCTGATTTGCCTCCAGACGGCTTCATATTCTCACAAAATAATTTTATTAATTGCAGGAGAACTTTGTTGTAGCAACTTTCTTATCAGAGAGAGAGAGAGAGAAATTTTATTTTTATGAGTTTTTTATACAAATTTGTTTGTAATTTCATAAAATAAAATTTTAGTAAAAAATTTTTTAATTAAAACATTTATAATAGAAAAAAATTTTAAAAAATAATAAAAAAACTACACAAACGAAATATAAATATAATTTTTTCTTATGAGAGAATACTATTATTAAATGTGTAAATATATTTTTGCATCGATCGGGAGAATCTCATCTCTTTTATTAGTAAGTTGGAAACGTGGTGAGGAGATGATCCATTAAATTTTCTATTAAGTCAAGTTGAGTTGAATATTAAAGTAAAAAAAAAAAAAAAGGATTATTAAAATATTATAAATAAATTTGAACTGGCAAAAAAATTGTTCCTTAAGTTATTCAAGGGATCAATTAAAATTTTGTATTTGCATTTGATACATTATAAAAAAATTCATCTGATTTATTCGACACAAATTTTAATGAAAAATTAAACTAAATAAAAATGGAAATAAATTCTGATACATCCAAATTTTAATTTTAACAAACTAAACATCATCAAATGAATCTAACAATAATATAAGTGATCCGATTTGAGTTCAAATGAATCAAGATCAAATACTTAATATATGGCTCTAATTTCGTTTCTATTTTCTATATAGTGGAGTCCGTAAAATTCCTATTTCTGGCAAAAAAAAAAAAGGGTTTCATTGCCAGACTATAGTCCCGTCACCATCATCGTCTGCCAATGTTCCTTAACCACTTCACATAACTACAATCCTTTGATCACCATCACACGATTACAATCTCCTTATCGTCATTGCTCGACCATGATCTCCTAACAACCGTCACTCCGATTCCAAAAGCCCATTGTCATGAATAACATTAATGCATGACAATGTTCGCAAGTCCGATGCTCGCTATCGACACCAACTCTAAGTAGAATTACTCTTAACTTCTCGATCAGTGTTCTCCTCTCTTCAACAAAATAATAGCAATCAAACATACAACAAACAATCTCTTGATGATAGCTTAATGCATCAAAGCCCTGTCAACTTCTATCATGTAACTTTTTCTATATTGTATTAACACGTCTTCTCTAATTACGTCGAAGAGTATATTTTCTCTTTTAATCTTCGCTATATATGCATGTTGTCAGATCTTTGTATAAAATTATGACGTCAAAATTTCTTTTTCTTTAATGTCTTGAATATTTTAGCATGCATTAATATTTAATTTATAGCTATTATCCATAAATATATTTTTAAAGGAATATGTATAGATATAAATCCAACGGCCGTCGTTATTGAACAGGTCAAGCTGCAGCTGCCCATTGAAGTCCATTCAAAGACAAAGCTCGATTCATATTTATTTTTAAGGATCAAAGTTCCTGACTCCATTTTATCTCATCAATACTATAATACAAAATTAGTTATCCAAAATTAATTTGGTTTTCCCAATGAAAAGAAATTAAAAAAAAATTCAATTTGGTAAGGCAGCCTAAAAGCTTCGTTTGCTTATTAAAAAAAGTTATATTTAAAAAAATTTAAAAAATAAAAAAAAAAAATCATCCCAAATGAAGCCTAAATATATTCCTATAGAAAAATGAATTTAGAAATTATCGTATCATTAATTTGAATTGGTTTTAGATTTTAATAAATCCAAATAAGATTAAGGTTTTATACGTTAATGAATTTAAAAAGCTGTTCTAGAAAGCAATAAAAGCTGTCCCAAACAAATCCTCAACCTATAACACGTTGTAAACTAACATCACATTTGTATGACTGCTTTCAATGTGGCCACTCAAACGTAACACTAACAAACAAAAATTTGTTGTTCAACTCAGAAGGTGCTACAAGTGAGACAGCTTTCTTATTGCTTTCTAAAATAATTTTTTAGTACAAAAATTTTTAATTTAAATTGTTTTGTACTAAAAAATCACTTTAAGAAGTAACAAGAAAGTATGAAAATATTAGTATTCATGACATCACCCACCTCCATTAAACCTAGAACTAACATCATTGTTAGGGGTGTCAATATTTGACACGACACTAAAACCCGACATGGACCCGACCCGTTTTAAAAACGGGTCGGGTTCGGGTTCGCATATTCGATCCGTTTGAAAAATGGGTTGGGTTCGGGTTGACCCGACGAGTTGGCGGGTCAACCCGGAAACTTGTTTAAACTGACTGCCCACGAGTGCGTGACCGCGCAGGCGCGCTGCAGCGTACCCGGCCAGGGTTGCACCTGTCGCCCGCGCACCCACGACGTCCAGTCCATGCACCCACCCGCGTCCAGCGCACCCGCCGCGTCCC